TAGATCTAGGTGGCAAAAAAATAAGTTTTTTATTTCATCTTATAATGGGCTTTATGTCAGAATTAARCAGAAGTTAATGGAATTGTTTATTAAATGGGTACTACATGTTCATTATATTGCCTGCTGAAAATAGTGTGGGGGTAATTCTTCGCAAAAGTACATAGATATCTGAAGAACCATCACAGAGATGTTGGCATTGATGAAATTTCACCTGAGAGGGACCTATCAATTGTTTTGGTTTCCCGATTTCTCTTTTTTTCCAGGTTTTATCTCACKATTGTATCCAAAAGAAAGACAAACATTGCATTTATTACTGCATTTAGAGGGCGAATCTTGTGCTTTTTTAAAAACTTTTATTAACAGAATTCTCATTCCAACAAACAAGACAACATTCACATTGAATTCAATCCTAGTACTTCTTTTGTAAAAAAACTATTTAAGATGTATTTCTTAAATTTTATATGGTCAGTTTTTATATAGGAAAGTCTCTTGATATTATGAAATTTGTTCTTTAAAAATGAGCTCATATGAAAAAAAAAAAACACAAAGTAAATAAGTTTCATTTTAAAAGATGTCAAAATACATACATTCCTAGTGTATTTTGGCACTGGACCCCGAAGCTGTCAATGAACGTTAAATAGAATAACAAGAAGGTTAACATGTTATAACAAACTATTTTAAGCATGATTTCACTCTTGTTTGATCTTAATGGTGGGGTAAGATTGAAAAATTCGAATGATATACATAGAAATGTAGATTGCTTCTTCTGTTTATGCCAACATGACGTTTTATGAAACAAAAAATGGTGACCACGTTATAACAGACTATGTTAAGAATTATTTCACTCTTGTTTGATCTTAATCGTGCAGCAGCAAAATGGAGAAACTAGACTGATATACATRCGTCGTCTTGACCCGGCGGATGCTGCGATTGTATGTTATATAAAATGAAAAAAATACGCAGTCAACGACTGCATGCAGCTTCTCTGTTGTTAAAAAAATGTTTAGGCAGAATGTTAAGAGAAAAAAAAAGAATGAATTTTCATGCTTTATTTATTGTATCGGCGCGCTCGCTTTGTGGATTACCTGTACTATTACGTCATGCATGATCTGGTGGGATCAAAAAGCAGTCTGGCACAGAAAAGGTTTTAATCCCGCGAGGAATTTCTCAAGCAATACTTGGGCAGCCTATGGAATGTTTTGGGAATATACATGTAGCAAAGACAGTAGTAGAGTCATTTGTAGAGTACAAACACTAAATCTGTGCAACATAAATACCACTAAATACTGCTAAATTATGCTAATTCTATTGTTTTCTATTGTTTAATTAACACTATTTTGTAGTAAATAGTGGAAAGTGTTGCACACATTTAATGTTTGTACTCTAAAAACTCATGAAAACAATAATGCATTTGACATTTTTAATGTTTGAGTATTTTTTAATTCAACATTTTTTATTAACAGTATCTCTCATAGAAAGATTTACTAACAGTACGTAAAATGTTAATACTCCCGAGTGAACATTGGCGTTGCTTACTATTTAGATATTTCAAATAGAAATGTATTAAAGTTAACTTATGAAACTGTCACTCAACTATTTTAACGTCTCAAAAAATATGTTGTCGTAATCTGATATATTCTATTACRTAGTTATGTTACGTCACACCCAATATATAATTAGACACATGATTGTAAACGACACTGCGAAGTGTATCAATAAAGAACGCAAGCTACAAGTAGTCTCATGATCTAACATTGGCGACGAGGACCGAACGAACGCTTAACGGAGAGGATGCCCGATCCACCAAGCAACGCGGAAAGCAACACCGCAAACGTAGTCATACATCGAAACTTAAACATCAAGCCATTTGTTAAACAAACTGACGCCAACGACACCGCTGTGAAGTGGCAGCGCTACAAAAAAGACATCGAGAGACAGTTTCGTTTCTTCGGAATCAGCGATGCCGCTACAAAGAAGTACGGATTACTCATCTATGGAGGAGGTGACCTCGTAGACATCGACGAAGCGCTACCAGACCCAGAGAGCCAGGCTGACGACGATGTTTACAAAGTCCTCATAAGAAAACTTGACGGACATTTCATGCCACAGCAAAACAAAGACTTAAACGCGCGATTTCAGCTAAGCCAAATGAAACAGCAAACCAACGAAACATTAGCAGAGTACTACGCTAAAATAAGAGACATAGCAAAGAAATGTGACTACGGTTCCCACGAGGACGACGCTATTAGAGATCACTTAATCAGGACAATGAACAATAACAAAATTAGAACAAAAGCCATCAAAGACAACCTCAAACTAAGAAAGATCCTTACAGAAACGGCAATCGACGAGCAAACGACCGAACAAGTCGGTGCCATAAGCAAACAACTCGATTCGGAAAAACACAACGAAAGAGTCAAGAAAATTGACACAAAGCACTCGAACACCCAAAGGACATCATCATGCCTCAGATATGGCAGTTCGCGGCGACATCAAAGAAACGAAACATGCCCAGCAATGGGTGCCACGTGCCAGAACTGTGGAAAAGTCAACCACTGGGCGCGTGTATGTCTCGGAAAACCGCAAAAACAACAAGGCCAAGAAAATAACCAACGCCGGAACAATCAACAAAGAAGTAGACACTATCGCGACCAAAGAAACGACGCGAAGAAACATGATACGACTCCACAAAGACAAGCAAGAACGAGGCACATCGAGGATGACAGCTTACGCAACAACATTCGAGAACAGCAAAGCGATGACAGCTACGATAGCGACGAGGCATGCTTCATGGAACATTTGAACATTCACCACACAAGTCAGCGCAACAACAACGGAAAAACATGTACAGTGCAAATCAATGGCATAAACATTCAGACGGAACCCGACACTGGATCAGATGCCAACATTATGGATGAAAATCAATTTACGAARCTACAACAACAAGCACCGGAAGTGTCACTCAAACCTTCAAAGGTCAAACTCAGAGCTCTCAAAGAAGATTTACCCGTACTTGGAGAAGCAAACGTCACAATAACGAACCAAACACGAACAGTTTCCACAACACTCGTTATTATCAAAGGCACAGTCGACTCTCCACCACTTCTGGGAAGAGAAACACTCGAAGAACTCGGAATGGTATTGATCGACGCTACAGGCGGCCTTAAAGAACCCAACAGAAACGTCAGAATTGTACAACAACAAAAAGATGTCAAGAACGTCAAACTCAACGAGATACTCGACAGATACAAAGCGAGATTCACCGGAATCGGAAAAGCAATGCGTGACGGACAAGAGATACAGATCTCTATACCGATGAAAGACGGCGGAACGCCTATCGCCCACAAACCACGACGAGTTGCATATTCGCTCGAAGACCCACTCAAGAAACGAATTGAGGAGTTTGTGAAGCATGACATTATCGAACAAGTCCCACAACACGAAGCTATCACATGGTGTTCACCCTTAGTAGTACAACCGAAACCCAAAAACTCCAATGATATACGAGCCTGCTTAGACTTCAGAGTTGTCAACAAATCAATGCTCAGAACACGACAAGTTCAAGCGCCAATCACTGAGGACTTCATCAGCGAATTTAAAGGATGTAAAGTATTCAGCAAACTAGATATGAATCACGGCTATCATCAATTTGCACTTGACGACGAATTGAGGCGAATAATGACTTTCTCCACTCCCTGGGAAAATTATCGATACAAACGCTTAGCRTTTGGCGGACTGAACAGCCAGGATCTGTTTGATGCAGAAATGGCTAAGGTCATTTCTGGAATTCCTCGTGTACTCAACAACAGAGATGATATTATGATCGGAGGACTTGACTGGGAGGACCACAACGAAAACCTCAGAACGCTACTGCAACGCATCGAAGATCATAACCTTACCCTACGCAAAGAGAAATGTGAGTTCGGGAAGACCACACTCAACTTCCACGGACACTTATTCACAGCTGATGGACTACAGCCCAGCCCAGACAAGATTAAAGCAGTGAACAGTTGCCAACCACCGAAAACCAGAGAAKAACTTATCTCATTCTTACAGATGTTAGCATACCTCTCACGCTACATCAGCAACTTCTCACGCAGATGTGAACCACTACGACGACTGACAAGAGACAAAGTAAAGTTCAACTGGACTGTTGAACAACAATTGAGCATTTGAAGACCTGAAACGTGCAATTACGTCAGCGCCTGTACTTGTACCATTCTACCCTGAAAGAGAGACTCTTGTCATCTGCGACGGCAGCCCAACAGGACTCGGAGGAGGACTCTTTCAAAAGACCCAGCACGGATACCAGCCAGTTCACTACGTGAGTCGCACCCTCACAGACACAGA